TGGATAAGAAATTTCAACCCTGACAAAATTCCCACCTCTAGAGTGAGAATGAGAGAAGAAACTAGAGATAGGCATAAATTTAAAAAATGAATCACCAAATTCATTCAAAAATTGTGAATTCATATTTGTATAAATCAATGGCCCTAATGAATATGAATAACTGATTATTATTTTTTTGCAATTTTTGATTTGTCGATTCATTGGACTATAAAATGGGCCCTCAGGCAACTAGAGACACCAAAATTGGAGGGAATCTTCCTCTGACTCTCCTCTACAATCCCTTGAAGCTGAGTGAAGGTTGGGTTTCCCCAAGCCAGCTGCTAATGGGCACTTTCCTGGGGGGACCCATTTTGTGGGTGTATAACCTGGAGGCTTGAAATTCAATCTTCACCAAAATTGGAGAGATAGTATAGGGGAATCAGTAGAATCCTTTCTGTGATTTCGACTTATCTAGGTGCTTAGGGAGGACTTTTCTGGGGGACCCTTCTTGTGGGTGTATAACCCAGACATCTGACACCCACACTTCACCAAATGTGCAGTGCTTCTAAAAGGGAGTTAGGGAAAGGGTTAGGGTTAGGGTGTCTCTAGGTGCTTGGGGAGCATTTTATAGGGTTTTAAAGTAAAAAAAATGATTTGACGAACTCATTCATCAGAAAAAAATGTAATTCATGATTCATCAACCTTGATGAATCACAAATAAAATTAATCACTATTTTTTCTGATTTGTGCCCATCTTTAGAAGAAACATATATTTTCTTCCCCAGGGTTTCCAAAAATTTGAATATAATATATCTATGGCTGTCTGAGTCCATCTAGTGTTCTTGCCTATGTGTACACACACATGCACATAGAAACATGCACATCAAGCATGGAGGAACTACATGATTGTTTCAAAAATGATAAATAGAACCCATCTGATTTTGTGGTTGTTGTGGGTTTTTCGGGCTCCTTGGCTATGTTCTGAAGGTTGTTCTTCCTAGCATTTTGCCAGTCTCTATGGTCGGCATCTTCAGAGGACAGCCCTCTGAAGATGCCAGCCACAGACACTGGTGAAATGTTAGGAAGAACAACCTTCAGAACACGACCAAAGAGCTTGAAAAACCCACAACAACCATTAGATCCCGGCCGTGAAAGCCTTCGCAAATACCCATCTGATTTTTCTTATTCTTAAAATTTGGCAGAACAAAGAAGCAGTGGTTTTAGATTTTAGTAGGACACAAAATTTGCATAAAAATTATTGAGTCACCAGAAAAGAACACACAGTCTTCTGTGAAGAAGGATTTATGTCCGTAGCTATAGCTCTAAGGAAAGGGCAATCATGCTACTGTTGGGTAGATGAAATCCTGCTACTCTACTACATTAATACTGAAGTTGACTTGAGCAAATCTTCACTAGCATGGTAAATCAAACAACAGTTGTAAACTAAGTGTGTGATTAAGCAATCAAACAAGTGTCCCTGTGTTCTAATTCTCAGAAGATGATGCTACAATGATATGCTCTCAGTGTTGTGTTTTTAATTAACTATGTTTGCATTCTTTAGTGAAGGCACACTAAATCCCTGTCAAAATTTTCTTGGGAGGAAGAGGAATTTGTGAGAGTTTTTCTGCACCCTCACTACTTTATACATATTTGCAATGTGCTCTGATGACCAAAATGAATCACTGCTCCCACTGTGTTTAACTTGTGTTGAAGAGGCAAGTTTTGATCAGAGCTAGAAAGAAGCACGCACATAATCCGTGATTAAATTGATGATAGAGAAGATCATACAAAGGATTTAAGCATTCTGAAGAATTGCTGTGATTCTCCCAGGGCAGCATCTCTACAGGGAACTTGTGTTGATGTGCAATGATAGCAGATCTCACATTTGGTAGCATTAACGTTTTTAATGTTAAGCTTCTTTCAAGCATTCTGCCTACAATTTTTTTCCTGTTGTTGTTTTTAGGCTTCCTGTGTGGGAATGGATTTGTTTAAAGCTGCAGATAGCGGCATGAAGTGGCATGCCCACATGGGGCATTGTTGCTTGTCATTGTGCTTTCAAGAGAATGACTGAGTTTTCATCCCTACAGGAGTTAGGGGTATTGCCAGAAATGAAACAGGGGTGCTTGCCTAGAACAAAGAAGCAAACAAACACAAGCCCAGTTTTTTTTTTTTAACAGCTTTGACAAATAAGTATGACCATGATGACTGGATAGCTCAGCAAGTTTGGTATCTGGCTGCAGAGTTAGAGGTTGGGAATTCAATCCCCCATTCTGTCTCCTTTGAAGAGAGGCAGGCTGTGTGGTCTTGGGCAAGCTGCAAAATCCCAAAATTCCCCCAGAAGGAGAGAATGGTAAACCACTATTATCTGTCTAGAAAATCCTGAAAAAGGTCACCATAAGTCAGAATTGACTAGACAGCACACAATTATTATTCTTGTACTGTTTGGAGGATTTTATGAGTTGTAGTTCAAAAAGTACCAATTTACCAAACAGAACCTGAGAGAACACCAGTCAAATATTCTCAACAAACCTACCCAGATTCTGTTTTCACACCTACACCATCCTGCCCCTACCCCAGTGTGGGGAAAACTGCTTTAGGGATTAGGATAGCCCAGAGTCAACACTGCAAAAGATACGTTCCTTCTCCCCCTCCTTCTCACACCCTCTGGGGGGAAAAAACAGAATAGGATGATGGCAGTCACTGTGCAATTAGTGTCTTTTGCTGTCTAGAATCATAGCTACCACTACCTGCTCCTCCATCTTGGTTCACAAGGTAAGGGAAATGAGATCAAGATGAGGCAGCAGGGAAAAAACTGAACCCAGGGCAGGTCCAAGCAATTCTCTTCCAGGAAGCAGAGTGTTAAATGTCTACCCAAGCACCAAAATGAAAGTACACAACACTTAAAGTTGTTTTGGTGCATAAGAAAAATCATAGTGGCAACTTTCTCCCTCCCTCACAGTAAAAATACAATAACCAAAAAAAGTAAATAATAGTTCATTGTAGTTCCTTGACATTTAATACCTGGAACTTGAAGTGGCCAGCTAACTCTGTGTAATGGTAAGGCTGGACCGCATACATTATCTTAGTTACAGAGTTCAACAACAATGATAATTATAACAATCTTAGAACTGCAGAGCTGGAAAAATCCTATGGAGCATTCAGTCTAACCCCTGTCAAGGAGCTACAGTGGGGATTAGAACTCCTAACCTCTGGCTCCTCAGCCAGGTACCTGAATGACTGAGCTGTTTTCCTAAAATGCTTGAGGGTGCTCAATTCATTTTTGATATTGAGCAGCCTTCTACTTTGCCCATATCTCACAGCAATACTTGTTACTGTGATGATGAAAGGGAATGCAAACTTTTGAACTTAACAGAATTCTTCTTCAGGCAAAATGGGTGGTGGCTAAAACCCTGCCCATAAGGATGCTTATGAAGACTAAATAGTAGCTCATTTTGGCTGCATAATATGATAACAGGCTGTTAATTACAAAATCAGCAAAATGACTTTGAAGCCTCTTAGAGGGCTTTAATCCCCTTGTTCAGGTGCGCACTGTGCTCAAAGTGGAATTGGCCCTTTTTGGGGAAAAAAGGAATGATATTGGTTGAGGAGAAATTAATCTATAGATCTTGTCCACATCATATAGATTCTGACTGTAGATTTATCTGGTGTGCCATATGGCAGAGTTAAATCATGGAGATACTGTTGGTCTGCAGCTCCCAACAGTTCAGCCAGTATGGACAGTGTATAGATAATGCACAGAGGCTACATTGCAAGTGTCATTAGTTGGTCTGAGATATGAAAGACAGGGGTTTGTTTTTGTTTTCCATATCATGGAATGCCAGGTTTTTCTTTTGTGAATCTTACTGCATTGTTATCAGTAATGTTCCATTCCAGAGATCTCACTCTTTCATCACCATCATTACTAGCAGGCATTGCACCCAATAATGTATGGACAGAGGTAGCAGCTAATAGTAACAGACTCAAATGTGCATGCACTCTCTGGTTACTATTCTGCCTTTTCCAGATTAAAATGAAAGAAAAGGGTTTTTTTTCAGAACATCTGTGAAACCTAATGGAAAAGTAGAGAATGTCGGGACTAGGATGTGGAAAGAAAGACATTCGCTTCTTACAGTGGACTGAACCCCAGGAAAATCTAGCTCCTGGTCACAACAGCCTTATTTGGCAGTCACTTAATAAGATATGGAGTGGAGCTGGGAGGACCAAGATGAACCTGCAAAAATGAAGGGTTTGCACCAACATAGTCCTTTACAGGACTTGCCATAATTGGAAAAGATCTTAATGTTGGGAAAGTGTGAAGGCAAGAGGAGAAGGGGACAACAGAGGATGAGATGGTTGGACAGTGTCACCAAAGCAACCAACATGAATCTGACCCAACTCCGGGAGGCAGTGGAAGATAGGAGGGCCTGGCGTGCTCTGGTCCATGGGGTCACGAAGAGTCGGACACGACTAAACGACTAAACGACGACAACGACGAGTCCTTTGTGGATATGGTTAACAGGCAGCATCACACCCCTGTCAGTGTACTCTTAACCCTTCAATGTGTACCATAGAAGATTTGATCTAAACTGCCACGAATGGTTGTGATGTTCCCCCATTATTGGGTGCACATTACCTGATATATCGATCAGTTGTATGGCCATGCTTCTGATATGAAAAAAGAAAGAATCACTGTCATGGCAAGTGTGCCATAATCCATTAGAATATGCATGGCTTTTACTGGCTGTGGCCTACCGTGAGAGCTGTTCTGTTAATGAACTCATCTGCTACTTCAAGGGCTTCACACTTGTTTTTCTGCAGTCTAATATATTTGCCATTTGTGCTTTGATTTGCACTTACGTTTACAGCTTGCAATAATTATATCTAATTTTGACTTTTCCCCTTTTAAATTACTACATGGCAAGAGATTCACAATTAGCTCATTCAGAATATGAGAGAACCAGGCATGAAAATGAAGGGGCGGGAAACATTTCTTCCATTCACTGTGGGTTTTACATTTTCAGGATCGTATGTGAGATGGGCCAGGCTGACTCTGATCCCAGTTCCGGTCCTGCGCTGCTCTGCATTGGAGAATGCAAGCCGGAATTTGTGGCCAAATCTGCACAGCATTACACATTTGTGGTAAGTGCCAACACAGTCATTACTGATATTGTATCCAGCAATGCCAATTAATGAATAATGAAACAGTGGTTTCTGGTTCTGAGAAATGAATATTCAGATGGAGAGCCAAAAAGAAATCTCCTAAGTCATAGAAATTGTTTTGTGTGTGTGTGTGTTTTGTTTGTTTTTTAATGCTTTGTATTATAGCACCTGTCTAACCCATATCAAGATAAATATACAGTGTATTTTAATCACCTTGTTAACTTGAAATCTTTTGTTTATGTTAACATGCAACATAAAAGATTTCAAGTTTTTAGATTTTTAGATTTTGCCTTTGATCATAATATCTTTTCCCCTATCACTCAGGCAGGAAGGGATCCCTTGCTTTTCTTTAGGGGGTAGTCTGGGCACCCTTTCCTTCCTGAATGAGAAAGTCAGGCTGACTTATTCAACTTATTTTACCCTAAGTGTACCATTTTGCTACAGGTAGATTTTCAATGAACTCTCAGTTCCTCCTCTTTATTATTATATAAAAACCTGGCTGGGTATCTCTGTGAGTTAGGTAGAGATTGGGATTTCAGTTCTCCACTGTGTCTTCCATGAGAAGAACCAGCCTAGCCTTTGGCAAGTTGCACAGTCCTTTCCCTTTTCTTAAAACCTTTATTGGCATTAAAAGGGGATAAAACAGCAGTAACAATTTATGTCATAGTGTTACAAACCAAGAAGGACGGGCGTGAAGGTAAGAACTGGGAGGGTGATGCGGGGGGAGGATGGGGCAGGGGTTTTGACTTGGAGACCGCTAAAAGAAAATCCGCTACCACGCTAGTGATGGTCGCCGAGTAATCGCTTAAAAGGGTGGGGAGGGGGTCAGCTAGGGAAACAAAAAGGGACGACAGAAGGGGTTCAAGGATGTTGTTTCTTAAATGTTGATGAGTCGGGCAGCGGAATAATATGTGGTCTAGGGTATCGGGCTCAGATGAGCAAAAGAGACAGAGTCTATTGATGCGTGGTATGTTTGCAAATCTTCCAAAGTGAACAGCTGATGGGAAAATGTTTAGTCTTGCTAGCATAAAAGCCCTCCTTTTACTTGGATTAATTAATTTACTAAAATAGTTTGAGGGTCTACCGAGTGAAGGGGAAAGGCCGAAGAAGTGAGGGGAACAAATAGGATTTAAATTGGGGAGTAATAAATTGAGTTCCTGTTGCCAGAGTTTAGATTTGATGATTTGATGGGCTCTGTGAAGGGTGGTGTCTGAAAGAGATTCGGGGGAGAGGTCCAAGGATGCGAGCTTAGCATCAAGAATATTGAACCACTTGGATGAAAAGGGATCTTTTAGTAGGTCATTGAGTATGGAATCTGGTTGGGTATTGAGGTGTAGTCTAAGCCAGAACTTGAAGGTTAGGGACCAAGCGATAGTAGAGGGAAGGTGCATGCCTAATTCGAGTATCAATGTGGACAATCTAATTAGGTTTGGGACTCCAAGAATCCTTCTGAGAAAGGAGGCAGCGACTTTATCAAGGTCTTGATTAGCAGCCTCGATCCAGATTGGGGCTCCATATAGCAGCTGGGAGAGGATTTTGATTTGAAATATATGGAGAGCAGCCGGAATGGGCCTCCAGATGTCCTTGGACTACAACTCCCAGAAGCCTTCACCACCACCTCTGCTGGCCAGGATTTCTGGGAGTTGAAGTCCAAGAACATCTGGAGGCCCGAGGTTGGGGACCACTGCTATACAGTATCTCGAAGACTTGCAAAATTTTGCTGTAAATCAGAATTGAGTTGACTGTGCACATTATTGTTATTATTGTTGTTATAACTATCATGATTATAGTTTGGAAAGTGGCCAATGGTTTCTTCTGGCACTCTATTTCTGCAGTTTTTCTGTATGGTACATGAAATTCATATCTTGGGAAATGTAATGTTTTGGACCAGAGCTTCCAGAATCCCCTGGCCACCTTGACCGCAGGCCGTGGGTTTAGCTGAGTTTATGTAACTGTAGGGCAGGCAAGGAAAAATTAAATAGCTATTCAAGGGTGAAAAGAATAGCTGTTAAAGAAAAGTTTTTGTTTGTTTTGGTTTGGTTGGTTGTTTTTAAGAATGTAATTTCAGGCATATCGAAAAGGAAAAGCGGACAATATTCTTCCTAACACTAGATTTAGGCTTCAGTTTTAAAGATTATAGTTCATACCATAAGGGGAGGGGCACTTATCTAAAAAAATCCTCTGCCAAGCTGTCTTCTTTTTCTTTAGCTTTACTGTCAATCTCTGGGGAAATTGGGATTCCCAACAGGATGTTAGGGGCAGTGCAGTGAAAGGCAAACAGGTAGCTGAATAAATAAGTAAATCCCAAATCTAATCGGAACAAGACCTGAAAAGTATCATGGCTTGGGTCCAGGAATTCACCATGTGTGATTTAAAGTACACTCTGTGTAAATTTCTCGGTGCCTCACAGTACATGTGGAATGCATACAAAATTTTGCCAGTCAAACAAATTCTATTAGTCTTGTAACATTGTGAAGCATTCCCACCTGAGAGACTGATACTTAATGCTTGCAAGACTCTTCTGTGGCAACATGTGCCTTCAACTGTGAGTTTGTAAAACTTCCAAAATCTCTGTGTGCTATCCTAGCAAGGAAAGAAATCAGGCTGGTCATAATTCCTACTTCTACATCTCTTTTCACAGTGGAAAGAATAGTCTTCTTACTCTAGAATTTAATTAACTGGAATTAATCTATAGCACAGCCTCTCTCCATTCTGTTATGTATGTATTCAGAAAACCATGAAACAGTTTTGTCTCATTACTGAATGCATACCATTCTTATCACCTCTGAAATTAGGCATTTTTCTGTCCCCCAACTTTTTCTGTTGTATTTTTCTTGATGTGCAAATTCAATTGACATAGCAAATAGATGCTAATTCAACAGAAATTCAATTTAGCTGCTTAATCCAGAGTTCCTCTCGCTGTCTTCCATTCCTGAAACGATCCTTGTACCCTTATGTCATTAATTATGAACATCTTTATGCATGGGCTTTCACATCGCACCTGGGGCTTTTCTGCATCTCAGTTTTTGCCCAGACACAGCTATCTGGTCTCATTGATTTTGTTCTGACTAAATGTTAGTGCTCACCAATTGCCCACAATTGGTGTAGTAATTGATAGATAAATCAGGCAGAGTACACCTGCCTTTTCATTACTGTTATGAACAGTGCACGAGAATGGAAATTTATATTAGTGATGGCAAAATACTGCACGTCAACTGCTTGAGAAAGGGAGATGGTCCAGAAATTTGGCATGTATTTATTCTTATATAATGGTATTTTAATTTACCCACCTTTCCTTTTCATCTCAAACACCCAAGACAGCAGATGGGTTCCACTGCTGACATCTTTGAATGATCATTCAAGATCTACAGGTCTGTTTTTCAAGATAATTGAAGAATATTTCTGGGCATGTGAATAATACACATCAATTATTATTCCCTTTTTCTAGGGGAGCTCTGTAGGACTGGGGCTGAGAACATATATGCCTTGCCTATGGATTCCCCTGTGCCTACAAGGCCTTACTGAAAGAGTCACCAGCCTATTTTTCCCCTCTTCAAGTGAATGGATTGATTTTTCTATATAGAGAAAAATCTACCCTCAGATGTAGTGTGATAGAAGACTTTCCTTTAGCCACATTCTCTTGGGATAATAATGAGTGCTTTCAGAAACCATAAAAATTATTCTAAACCCCCTGTTAAAAGCAAAAAAAAAAAAAAAAAAAATCAAGTTGACATGATGCACTGACAATTTCAGTTGTATTTTAAGAGCATTTTCCCCATTTTTAAAGTTGACTGAGAGTAGACCATCAATCCTTTAGTATGGCAACAAGAGGACTGTAGGAGATGCAGACTATGGCGTGGCTATCATTAGGATTTGATAAAGTGGATTTTATTGAAAATAATTTATAAAGGAAAGAGAATGGATTAAGAATAAGGAAAGAATAGGAAGGACTGTGGTATTAAATTAGTAGCAGAGTGGTAAAAGTAGTTCAGTTCCCTTGTTAGAAAAAGAGATGAGACCATCCACAGCTTCTCATATAGGGTCACTCAACAGTCAAATAAGAGAAATGCTATTCTGCAATGGATATGATGCTAAGTACTTTAATTTGGTCAGCCATAAATGACTCTCCAACATAGTTGAGAGCTGTCTTTATATTTAAACTGTGGAACACAAAAGGTCACCCTGCTAGTGCTATGGCTGTTAAGAGCATCTTATCTTGATCAAGCTTTGTGTCATTAAAGAACAATGCTTTCACAATATACAACAGTCTTGGGCTCCAGCAACTAATAATTAGTTCATGAGTTAGAGCAATTAGGGAGACAAATCTCTGAGTAACACCTCATAGAATCTCATTAAACATATCCCTTTCTGTGTCTTATATAAGAATGAAAAAAAGAACTAGCCTGTTATTTCCTTCTGATGCCTAGACATGTTTTTTTAACTCCATTGGAAGACACACACACACATGCTTTAGTAAACATATGTAAGTGCTCTTTAAATACTATAACAAAACAGGGAGACATAACGAAGTTGCTCCTTCCAAGTAGATCTTGAGCACCAACCTCCATACTGTCTTCCACTCCTTGAGTCAGAGCAGGTTCTCCTGGTGTCCCTTGTGGCAAAACTAAATATGGTGTTAGCTGTAATTTTTCTTCATACGTTGTGTCTTCCCAAGTCATGTGTAAAAGCATTGAGTGTGGGTATATTTTTTAAAAATCAAAAGAGGAATATAGGTAGGGGGAGCAGAATTCTCTTTTGCCTTACCATCTTCTCCTGCTTTACCTCTGTGTAATCATCACAATGGCACTTGCCTCCCAGTCTGGATACCACCTGGGCTAGAAGGAAAACAGGATTTAGCTGGTAGGCTATAAAGAGGTAATGAGCTTTAACAAGAATTTATTGTCCTTCATTAGTTCTATTTTTTAATATAATGATTTGTATATTTATATATGAACAGGACAGGCACATAAAAAAAACAA